TTTTGGAAGCTTCTATTTATTACACCCTCATGCTACTCTTAGCTGAGCTGTGTCCAGTCTGATAGTGGGCCCACCAAAGACATTCTTTATCTCTGTTACAGTGTTTTTGATCTCTAACAGTTCCTTTTGATTCTTATAATTTCCATATCTCTATTTTCAATATCCATCTGTTCTTGCAGGCTGTCTACTTTTTCCATTAAAATCCTTAGTATATTAATCATAGATGTTTTGGCAAGTATTATCTTGATTCCTAAGCCAGGCAAAGATATCATAAGAAAAAAGAAAACTGCAAGGCAGTAACTCTGACATTCATGCAAAAATTATCAATAAATTATTAGCAAATCAAATTCAACAATACATCAAAAAGATTCTACAGTATGATCAAGTGGGATTTACCCATAGCAGGCAAGACTGGTTTAACATAGGTAAGTCAATCAAAGTGACACATCACAGACTGAAAGACAAAACCACATGATCATCTCAATTGACACAGGAAGTATTCAACAAAATCCAATATCCTTTTTTGATAAAAACTCTCAACAGTTTGCGTATACAAGAAGAGTCCTCAACATAAAAAAGGTCATTTACAAATGACCTTTGGCTGAGTCCTCGCCCCACCCATGGTGTTTTAAACTCTCAGACTGGTCCCTATGGAGCCTCTAGTAATTTACCAATTACAGTTCAGGTTTTCCTGCCTCAGCATTTGTTTCCATGGAGGGTTCTACTTATGGGTTTGCTCCTGTTAAGTTGTGACTCCCCATATTCACCTCTCTCTCTAATTTCAGAGGGCAGCAATTTGCCCTGTGACCTCAGTTTCGACAAATCTAAAAAGAGTTCTTGATTGAATTTCAGTTTGTTTGGCTTTTTACTGTTGTTACAATGGAGTGGAGACTTCTAAGCTCCTTACACACTGGACTGGAAACAGGAAGCCTGCCCATTCTTTTTTATTTCTGTGTTTTCCAGGGTTTCTTGCATAACTTTTGAATGTAGCAAGAACTCAAAGGCTTTTAAAAATTTGTTGAACATTTTTGGTAATAGCTTATATATAAATAAATAAGCACCTTCTAACCACCAGGCACTCTTCTAAGTGTGTTTACATATATAATCTCATTTAAACCTCACAGAAACTCACACATAAATACTGTTTTTATTCTTGTTTTATAGACAAGGAAGCCAAAGCACAGAGAGTTTAAGTTTCCTGTCCCAAAGGAGCACAGCCAGTGAGTGGCATAACCAGAACTCAAACTCAAGATGTGCGACTAAAGAATATGTTCATAACCACCATACTGTATTAACCAGCTAACTCCTAAAAGTCCTGATCATGTTTTGACCTCATTCAGTCATAAAGAATTCAAATAGTCTAACAGATTGTTTCTCATTCTAGTTATTTTGGAAACTGCCAATATGATATTTCAATTTACCATCCAAACATCTGAAATTACTGAAAGGAAAATTTGAGTATGCACCTCCTGTATATCATTGTAAGAAAAGGATTATGTTTTCATGTAGTTTACATAGAAACTAACATAGTTTACAGAGAAGCTAATTTTTATATAGAAACTACATGAAAACATAATTTTAGAAACCCAGGAAGGTCTTCCTTCAACCATTAGAGATGCTCCTCACTGGCTAAAATGAACCCAGTGCTTGAAAAGGATCTCTACTTCCTATGAATAGAAACCGGCATGCTATTTTCTATGACAAATTAGTACCGAGTCTTACATAAATATGACTTTAATGGTACTAATGTTTTAAGCCAACCTAGGTTGTTCTGATTCCTGTTCTGAACATTGAGGCTCAACATCATTAACAGACAAGCCAAAGATAATCACTATCCTGAGGGCTTTGCCAGCTGCGTGAGTGAACATGCTGTCTGTTTTAGCATCAGCCACTTTTTGGTCTGCATTAGATTGATGGCATATTTTGTTCTGTTTCTTTATGGAAATATGGTTTATCTATACCAATAAACTCTTCTTTTTCTAGCAACCGATTCAGAGTTGAAAAGTTTATGCCGGGCACGGTGGCTCACGCCTGTAATCCCAGCAATTTGGGAGGATGAGGCGGGCGGATCACTTGAGGTCAGGAGTTTGAAACCAGCCTGGGCAACATGGTGAAACCCTGTCTCTACTAAAAATACGAAAAAGAAAAAATTAGCCAGGCATGGTGGCATGCGCCTGTAATCCCAGCTATTCGGGAGGCTGAAGCAGGAGAATTGCTTGAACCTGGGATGTGGAGTTTGCAGTGAGCCAAGATCGTGCCACTGCACTCCAGCCTGAGCAACAGAGTAAAACTCTGTCTCAAAAAAAAGAAAACAAAAGAAAACAAAAGAAAAATTTAGAAAATACTGGATTCTGATTTTATTGGAATTCATAGTGGTAGGTTTAGGATACATGGGCAAGAGAGACAGAGATGTTTAAATATCAAAATGCAGGATCATCTCTAATCAATATATTCTCCTTTATCAATCAAAACATAAAGAGAGTTTATGCCATCAGGTAAGCTGTTTGTTCCACCCTATCCCCACATGGCTGACAAAGGAATCATATTCTAGTTAAATTTGTACAGTGAGGCCAGGCGTGGTGGTTCATGCCTGTAATCCCAGCACTTTGGAAGGCCAAGGCAGGTGGATTACCTGAGGTCAGAAGTTTGAGATCAGTCTGACCAACATGGAGAAACCTTGTCTCTACTAAAAATACAAAATTAGCTGGACATGGTGGCACATGCCTGTAATCCCAGCTACTCGGGAGGCTGAGGCAGGAGAATTGCTTGAACCCAGGAGTTGGAGGTTGCAGTGAGCCAGTTGCGCCACTACACTACAGCTGGGCAACAAGAACTCCATCTCAAAAAAAAAAAAAGGTTTGTACAGTGAGAAAATATATCTCCCAAGGGCGCAAATAACACATACCGAACTTCCTTATCTGCTCTCCTCTCAAAAAAACTCACTCTTTCCATTCCTTAACATCACATTACAGAACATCATCTTTAAGACATGAATGCTAACCTCTTTCTGGTTTAACAAATTTGTGGATAATAAGCACCTAATGGATTATGGACAGGTTTATAGGTATATTTTTGATACAGCACTAATCATTCATTCATTAGTTCCTGACATCTGCTCCAGGCTGGTGGTGGTATGGGTGTCAGACTGAGAGTCTGCACATTAGAGTGTGCCATGTACAACTATGGGGGTAAAGACAATGCATTCCAAGAGCTCAGAGAAAAGGACAAACAGCAGTACCTTCTGGAGGTGCTCTGAGAAGGCTTGAAGCAGCAAGCACTAAGGGTCACTACCTGCCCCCAAGTAAACCAAACACAAGGATGGCTGAAATGCTGGCCTGACCTAGTTAAACCCTTTCTTTCCTAGAAAGTAAGTATATCATCAAGTTTTGCAGGTTTATAATGGGTTTGTAGACTTGGCATAGCATTGGTCTCAGACTATTTTCAACAATGGTTATGTGTCCAACACTGTACTCGGAGCAGGACCCGAAAATGGGCCTCCTAGGTCTGGCATATTCTAAACCACAGTCTAGTTAGGGTGCATTGGCCAGGGATTCCCTGGATGGTATTGCAGATTGTGCACTAAACATTAATAAGAGACACCATTCCTAATACAGACATTATAGAAATGAATATTCATCATGCCAGCAAATAGCAGTAAAGAGTCTGGTTTTAACTAAGGTAGTATATCAGGACAATGATATACAATGATATACAATGATATACTTCTGAAAGATGGAAATAAAGTATCTTGAGGAGAGGATGCCTTTTTTCTAATTCATTCAAAAATCCTATGGGCAGCTGACTGCCCTGTTTTTTGTTCATTCAAAAAAGGATATAGGGAGGAAGTGGATCACTCAGTGGTGGTCTCCCCAATCATTAGTACAGGCATTCTTCAGAGTTGCCCCAGAGACGATCCCTCGGGCAAAGGCTAACAGCACTGGAGGACCAGAGGAGGAGCTGAGAGTGTAGTACGAGGAAAGAAATAATACACAGGATGACTTTCCCCATGTCACTTGCTCTTGGTGTCCTCCCTCCCAGTGGGAGTTCTAGGGCCCATGCCTCTTTGCCTGAACCTCCAGGGCTCCTTTTCTGTGACCTCACTCTCCACTGGCACCTCCAGCAGCAGAGGCAGAGCATTTCAACCAGAGAGCATAGTGGCTTGACTTGACCTACTTCCAAACAAGGACCCTTTCTCATTCATCATTTCAACCTCATAGCCTAAGGAGAGACTCAAAACACTGTGGCTGGGTAAAGTAAATGAATACAATCATTAGGTAAAATGCATTTTTAGAATAACCAGTTGATTTCATTTATCCCTGACATCATTGGGATTAATGTAACAAAGCAATACATAACAGAAATCTGGCTCTTACACATGGTCAGTCATCTTTTTGGCTCTGCAACTCTTCCTTTCTCAAGAAAGGATGAGAAATGGTATGTGACAAAGGGAACTTCATTTTAAGGAATGATCGGGGAAACTGGTTAAATTATTTTATTTTATTTTATTTTATTTTAATTTTTTTGAGACAGAGTTTTTGCTCTGTTGCCCAGGCTGGAGTGCAATGGTGCGATCTCGGCTCACTGCAACCTCTGCTTCCCGAGTTCAAGTGATTCTCATGCCTCAGCCTCCCAAGTAGCTGGGATTACAGGCACCCACCACCATGCCCAGCTAATTTTTGTATTTTTTAGTAAAGAGGAGATTTCACCATGTTGGCCAGGCTGGTCTCAAAATCTTGACCTCAGGTGATCCACCCACCTCAGGCTCCCAAAGCACTGGGATTACAGTTATGAGCCACCACGACCGGCAAAAGAGGTTAAATTAAAAGAAACAATATAAAACTTTGAATTGGAAATCAAACAAAGAATGGGTTAGTATTTATGTTAGTGACACATCATAAAAGTTAAAAAAAAAAAAAAAAAAGGCAGGACTCAAATTACAAATTACCTCTGCTCTTGGTAATCTCAAAGTTCCTAAAATAATAACTGAAGAGCTCTCTTACCTTATAATTATTCATGATTTCAGTTAACCATGGCTTAACTGACTGTACTGTATCTTCTCGCAAGTACTTTTCAACTACAGTTCCATCATTAAAAGTCCGATTTCCCACGTGGATGGCTTGTCTCACCTCTGGGAGTGACAAAAGTTTCACATAGTAAAGCTGATCCTCAGGTTCCTGGCAGAAGGGGGCATCGGAAAGACATAGGGAACATGATTGGTGGCAGGAACAGCACGTTGGGAAAAGCTGTGAATTTCTCATAATATACAACATGAACAAATGTGATGGGACTATTAACTTGTCTCCATTCTTGAAATTTTAACTCAGAGGTTTCGAGGTAATTTAGGTGGAATCTTTTTACTAACGAGAAATCTGAATGATGTGATACTCTTAGAGCAAATACAGGATTTTCCTTTGCAGAAACTAATATTTTGCAATCTGTGACTCCCATTAGCAACCCCTCTAGAGGCAAAGATTGAGAAAACAAAAGAGGTGAGATTATCAAAATCGATTCACTCCTTGTTGGTGGTTCTTTGGAAAGAAGGTCAAATGGATCACAAGGGCCAGGGTGGTGGCGTGCTGGATTTAAAGCCAAGAATTTCTTTTCTGTGTTCTGCTGTTTATTAAAACCACACACACACAAAACTGGATTAACTATAATAAAGGGGAAAATATGTCAAATGTGAAAAGAGATGATGCTTTATGAAGGACACAAGACAGAAGAAAAGTTGTCCATGAAGCTCATTAAAAAAAAAAAAAAAACTGCAATAAAGTCTCTGTAATAATCATTATACTGAAAGAAAGGAGTAAATGCTTTTTTAAAAAAACAGTTACACAAGGATTTAAAAAACTGTTAAAGTTTGAGTTTGACAACTCTGTGCTTCATCAACAACTTTTGCTAACTATGAATATATTATGTTGTAAAGAAAAAAAGATATCACAAATTTTGTTTCTGTCTTATCTACCACATGTTTTTCTCTTGGTAGAACCTAAATCCAAAACTGCAGCACTGGCGAATTCCACTGAAACTAACATACTTCATTTATAAACTAGTTCATAAATCAGGCAATTTAAAAAACAGAATGCATTGTCATAAGCATTAGACAAAGATTATACGAATTCAAACACCTACTTTGGCTCCTTCTGTTTGACTAATTCTACACAAAGGATACCAACTTTGGTCTACTTTTATGAAACAAACTAGTTGAATACTTTGAGAAATATTCCAGAAGGCTTGAAGTAAGGGCCATACTAAATGCATTAAACCTCTTAAGTTAAAAGTAAGACAAAGCAAATATTTTCATTAAGGCTTTGGCAGTTTTGATTATCCAAGTGTCTTAAGTACAGAACAAAGAATGTGGGCATTTTCAAGAGACTCGTAAACAGACTTGAAGCTCTGGGACCTGAGACCCAGAACTCCAATCCCAGCCTGTGTCCTTCACAAAAAAGCCTCTATAACAAGCTCTACTGTGGGGAAATTATGTTAATCAGAAGTTGCTTTGAGTTATCTGAAATATCACACATTCTCAGTGGTCAGATTATAACATATACAACACTGATGAGGAAAAGATCCTACGGGTTAGTAGACCACATCACGCAATACAGTTTGGACATGCTGGTCTAGTATAAAGTCATCTATAATATTTCCCAAATCAAAGGAAGTTCGGTTTTGCCAAAAGTTTTAAGCAAACATTATTATGGTTTTTAAAATGTTGTCATTACCGTGCACCGCAAAAAGTTATAGTAATTACTACATCCTGTAACATTCTGGAAGTAAGAAGGATCACTTGTTAAGTCGCCGTCTAGTAGTTTATCCAGTATCTAGGTTGGGAGAGAGGGAGAAAGAGAGAAAGAAAACATGAGCGTGGGTAAAAATGTGCAGACATTTGTCATTTCCTTTATTCAACAACTTTTTCATTCCTCTATTGTTTCATCCAGCGCCCACTTATTGTGCATATTCTCTGTGCTAGACACTGCCATGGCACTGGAGAAACAGCCATCAACAAAACAGACCAATGGTCCTCCCCCATAGAGCTTTCATTCTAGGCGGGGGACAATAAGCATTTCTAAGTAAATTACGTCATGTGGTAGACAGTGACAAAATCTTGAGTATGTTAGGGAATGGTAAGGAGAAAACTAAAGAGGAGTAGGAAGTATCATACGTGTGCATGTGTGTATGGGACACTGTGGAGAGGAGGTCACAGAGGATCTCACTTAGAAGGTGACATTTGAGTAAAGACATGTTGGATGAGAGGAATAAAGCCACGCAGACATCCAGGGGAAGGAAGGTTCCAGGCAGAGGACACAGTGAGCTCAAAGGCCTTGCCTATGGAAGTAAACCTTGTGGGAAGGGTGCCTTAACATGGATCATGAACTGCTCACCAGATGACATGGAGAGAAGACGGAGGATACGGTGCAGCTCCGGGTTTCTGGAGCTGGTGGAAGTTATCTTTGGGCTGACATTAAAAAACCCAGTCACCAGCTGAGGGGGAGAGCAATCAGCATGGTTGCATGCTTTCCTCCAGCCATCGTCAGCTGCGTGGAGACAAGCACAGCCTGGCAGAGAGGGAGATTGAGCCAGGGCTGTGGTTCAGCCAAAGGAGTCGGAAGAAGTGCAAAAGAGGTTTGGGCTTGGAAATGTATGGAATGACTGACCCTGGGTTGAAGACAGGTAATTAGAGAAATGGAGACTTAAGGGTGTTAGAGATCGTGTAGAGGCAGGAGGATCAATGGATTGAAAGGTAGTGAGGGTGCAGGGCTGTAAGACTGGTACATTAGCGGAAGAGAGCTAGGACAGGAGGTGGTAGTTGGTGAAAGATGTTTGAATGTGTGATTGTGGATCAGCTGCCAGCTTTTTAGGGTATGAGAATCAGCAGCTAAGATGAAGAGGAGAACATGATCATTGAAAAACAGGAGGCTGAGGCACCAAGGACCACGTCCTAAAAGGATCATCAATGTGGATCCTGCAGTTACCAGGAATTATGACAAGAATAATGCTGGAGAGCATGACAGGGAGGAAGGAGCTCAGCTATTCAAATGAGAGAGAGTAACCAGGGGTTGGTAGACAGACACAATTGGAAGTGGTCAGAGGCCCTGTCTGAGGACAGGAGAGTCAAAGCTCAATGCTTTAGGAGGAGGCAGGGAACATGATCTGAAAATGACATGATGAGCAAGGAAGACACCTACTCCACCTATGAACCAAGAGATACAGAGAAACTAAGAGAGAGAACAGCCCCCACTCAAGAGGACCACAAGGACTGCAGCATCATCAGGGGAGAGCCAGTTTCCGGCAAAGCAAGAGGCTGAAGACATGGAGGGGGGTTGTTGATGATGATATTACATTGTAAGGAGTTCTTATGAAAGGATTCTAAGAAATGAAGTCAGCACATCTTAAAAACAATCTATCAAGTACAAAGTTAGGTCTCTTATCAGATATGGTATTATTATTCTAATTTTATGGGTGAGAAAACTGAGACACATGAGTTTAAGCTACTTGCCGAGGATACCCCACTAATAACGTCAGAGGTGAGATGATCAGGCCACAACTCCTGAGCCTGTACGCTCAACCACGCACTCACTGGCTCCCAGGAGTCAGCCTGCAATGCTTCCTACTTGCCAATTCCTTCTGGCCATGTTTCAATGTTTGAGAAATAGTCTCATTATTGTATTCATATTCTCTTTTTTTTGAGACAGAGTCTCGCGCTGTCACCCAGGCTGGCATGCAGTGGCGAGATCTCAGCTCACTGCAACTTCTGCCTTCCAGATTCTAGCAATTCTTCCTCAGCCTCCTGAGTACCTGAGATTACACGCGCCTGCCACCATGCCCGGCTAATTTTTTTTTTTTTTGTATTTTTAGTAGAGACGAGGTTTCACCATGTTGGTCAGGCTGGTCTTAAACTCCTGACCTTGTGATCCATCCGCCTCTGCCTCCCAAAGTGCTGGGATTGCAGATATAAGCCACTGCGCCTGGCCTGTATTCATATTCTTTTTCAAATATGAAAGAACTTATTCAAGTTCCTATTGCAATGGGGATAGAGGCCAAGAATGAAAAGGGTTATCACCGTAGAAGGCGGTGTGGGTGGAGGTGGTAGTAAGTATTCTCTACCAATGCTACCATTGCTCAGGGCCCCACATCTGGTTGTGCAGCTCCATGGTGATGCCTGTGGCTAAGGGGTGCGAAGGACAGGGAACCAGCCAAAGTTCTGCTTGCTGAGCTGGACAGCCTGGTTCAGGGCTGCATCTGGAGAACTGGCCACCTCTTATCCTCACACAATGGAGGCATCTGCTTTTGCCCAGTCCTGAACCCACAGGACTGCATCACCACAGAGGAGGTGCCTTTTTCTAATATGTTCACCCAGAGGGGGCACCATAGGCCAGGGTCATTCTGAATGCACACATGATTTCTGAAACTCATTGTTAGAAATTATCTTCAACACCAATGGGAAAATAAAATATAAAGTCAACCTTGAAGAATAACTTTGCTTTTAGAAAGAGTTAAAAGTCATTTGTTGGCTGGTTGCGGTGGCTCACAGCTATAATTCCAGCACTCTAGAAGACCGAGGTGGGCAGATCACTTGAGGTCAGGAGTCTGAGACCAGCCCAGCCAACAAGGTGAAACCCTATCTCTATTAAAAATGAGAAAAATTAGCTGTTCGTGGTGGCGAGTGCCTGTCATCCCAGCTACTTGGGAGGCTGAGGCAGGAGAATCGCTTGAACCCAGGAGGTGGAGGCTGCAGCGAGCCGAGATCGCCCTACCGTACACCAGCCCGGGCGACAGTGTGAGACTCCGTCTCAAAATGAATAAATAAATAAATAAAAATAATAATAATCTTTCTGCCAGAGGTGAGAGGGCAGAAAAAAAAATCAGATTCTCAAATTCCTGTGCGTCTCTTAGTAGAGAAGGGGTTTCTCCATGTTGGTCAGGCTGATCTCGAACTAAAAAAAAGGTCAGTTGTTGTCAAAAAAATATGGGTGGTTAGGACCTGTGAAGTTAAGAACTTTGTGATTCAGAAAATCATCATGGAAAGAGGTAATACTGGACAGAGGATCAGCCATTTTATATCTTACCAGAAATATCTAAGACACCCAGGATTTTATAGAATGCCTGCAAGTACCATAGGAAATACTGTGTGGTGGAAATGCGAGAACAATTCCAGTCCTTGGCCTGCCACAATCCATTTGTGTATCCTTCGGCAATTCATTGCTATCCTCTGAAGACTCGGCATTCTCTCCCCTCACCAGTAAGAGAGAGAGAGAGAGAGAGAGAGAGAGAGAGAGAGAGAGTGTGTGTGTGTGTCTGTCATGTGTGCATGTGTAAATGCATAGGGACAGTAGATGACCTATCTCAGTACTCTCCAGCTCTGAGTTACTACTCTTTGATTAATTAAATCATTTTAAAGGATCAGAGCATCAAACAGGTTTTATCATTTTAGGCTTGAGATTCTGACATTTATATTCCCTTGGGTTTCAGGATTTGTTGCAGTCTTCCTTTGCAGTCATTGAAACACATTTCAACCACAAGCTGTTTACTGTTCTAAGTATCATTTTATCTATTTTCCTTGAAAAAGCAAAGGTCTTGTTTTAATTCATCACTCAAGATATGGGACCAATGGTCAAAAAGACATTCCAAGCCCTTCAAAGAGTTTTGCCTGCTTGGGAGTTCTGGTTCTAGTGTATCCCGGTTTGGGATAGATTCTAACCTCATGAGTAGAGAGAGAGAGAGAGAGAGAGAGAGAGAGAGAGAGAGAGAGAGAGAGAGAGTGTGTGTGTGTGTCTGTGTCTGTGTGTGCATGTAAATGCATAGGGACAGTAGATGACCTATCTCCAGAGTACTCTCCAGCTCTGAGTTACTACTCTTTGATTAATTAAATCATTTTAAAGGATCAGAGCATCAAACAGGTTTTATCATTTTAGGCTTGAGATTCTGACATTTATATTCCCTTGGGTTTCAGGATTTGTTGCAGTCTTCCTTTGCAGTCATTGAAACACATTTCAACCACAAGCTGTTTACTGTTCTAAGTATCATTTTATCTATTTTCCTTGAAAAAGCAAAGGTCTTGTTTTAATTCATCACTCAAGATATGGGACCAATGGTCAAAAAGACATTCCAAGCCTTCAAAGGTTTTGCCTGCTTGGGGTTCTGGTTTCTGATGTATCCGGTTTGGGATAGATTCTAACCTCATGGGTCATGTTCTCATTATCTCTGAATACACAACATACCTGAACTTTTCTACAGCTTCACTAATCCTGTAGGTGTTTAGCCTGCTACATTATGTACCAGTCATCTTTCTATTTTTTTTCTCAATATGAGGCTCTCAAATGCTCTTGCTCTTGACACTGCTTTATCCCTGTGTGCTTCTTTAAAAACATATCAAATGTATCATTTGCAAATTGGTCTCATGCCACATAAAATTTGGTATTAATTCTAAATACTGAAGTTTCACTCATTTGTCCCCTCTCTGACTACCACAGCAGAAAGTTCTTGAAAATAATATCATTGCAAGTGGAAGCATGATCCTACATGTCCCCCAGGAGACCCCTCTTCCTTTGTGTTTATAATTACACAACAAATTCTGAATCCACACTTTGCAGCCACATTTAGTGTCCTGACTCAGAGAAAGGAAAGCCTGGTGGAGCTCAATAGGATGGCTCAGGACTCCCTTTGCTCCAACCATTTGCACAGCTAGCTGCTATCAGAATTCACAGCAAGGGTGGCCACTGCCTTGGTGGATTTCTGATAGTGTCCTGACACCCTACTTGTAAAATGAAAAATAACTTTGTGTTATCCTCCACCTTCTCTCCAAGGTTGCATGTCTCCTATTTTGACCTGAACTGGCTGATCTGCCGTGCTCTTAAGACTTAATATCAGATTTCTGCTTTAATAACAATAACAACATTAGATATACTGTTACAGAATGTGTCTAATAACAAACAAATTAAAGCTCTCAAAATTCAGACCTTGCCTCATTTACTACTGTGTCAAACACGATGGCTCTATAGTAGATGTGGCAAAAAGCCTCTCAGGGAGATTGTTTACACATAGCTCTGTCTGCATTGACCAAAAAAAAAAAAAAAAAAAAAAAAAAAAAAAAAACTTCCTGTATCCTAATATTTAGTATATTCTTACATTTTAAATAACCGAGAAAGAAAAGAGTGAAGAACATAATTATTTATTCTCAAGTTTAATTTGAGGTGAGCAGTGTAAGGATATGCACAAATACCAATGCCCCTTTGTAAGAGTTTCAAATTACTACACTTTATGATCTTTGCTCCTGACACGTGTGTCACATGTCATTTGTTACACACTGTGGTCATTTCTCCCAGCTGAAACCCTGTTTGTGGATATAAAACTCTTCTACATGGTTTAGAGCAGATGGTGAAGCATATGCCTCCACTTCCTGGGTTGCCTTTCTTCTGATTTCCATATGATAGGGTCTGCCTTGAGGGCCTCCACAGTATTTAAAGAAATCAAAACAGTTAATGAAAGACACAGTTAGATAAACACTCCAAGATGATCTCAGGCTTAAAATATAGCCAAAGTAAATTCAAAGGAACACAGACAGTCCTTTTCTTTATTATAAGGCCACTCACCTCGCCTCCCGATCTCAAATGGAATAACAGAGATATACCTTCTTAACAAAAAAATGCCTGAGCACCAAGGTGTTCCTACTGACCCGCCCCCCTCCCCAGATGGTTTTAATTGCTCAAGGGCAGCACAAGGTCCCTAGAACTCACTTCAAAGGCCTGAAACCAGTTCTGCTTCTTGATGTGTTCTATGCATTCGTCGCACTGCTTCTGGAAGTACTTTTTCTGCTTCTCATCCAACAAGCCAATTTGGTACAGGAATGCTGCATAGCCCCCTATAATCTGAGGACAAAAAAGATACACATCAATGCCACAAAGGGAGAAAAAGAGACCTTAAGGAAGCCCATTTGCTTGGTGAAATAATCCTTTGTAATTGTTAATCTTGTGCTGGTTAGCCAAGTAGGATAATTACATGCACACCCATATACACCCCACAACACACACAACAGAACACAACACAATACACACACACACACACACACACATATTTGCACTGACAGCCAATGTAAGCTGACACAGTAAACTGATACGTTGAAACATTTGGTAAAAATTAAGAGATTTAAGTCATAAAGTCAACTAATATTTCCCTTATCAAGTTAGACCTCTAAGAGGAGACTTCCATCTGATAAAAAGGCTTTTAATCTCTCTAAGAGACAAAATAGAAAGTCAAAAGGAGACACCTACTGATTCAGGATCAGAATATCCATCTCCAATAGCAATTCCTTTCAGGTTGATCTTCTCCTCCTTCACAGGGTTGAGGGAATGGATGAGGTGTGCAATGGCTGGCACATATTTCCCTGCGTAAGACTGAGAAGGACAGATGTTGAAATGGCCAGTCACAAATGGATGCTAGTAAAATTAAATGTACTTAAGTTAATTAAAATAACAATGAAGGAGCAATCTTTCTACATGAGGTATACCATCTGTTTCCTAACCCTGCATTATAGATTCCATAATAGCAAAAACCTCTGTCTTCCAATTCTTTTGTCGTCTCAAATAGCACCACATGATATGTACAGGTTCGATGCACAAAAAATCACAAGTGAACATGTAATAAGTGAACATTCTAATTTCCTTCCAAAATAAAATAACTTGGGAGAACACAATTCTGCCATGTGTTAGGCATCTCTTACCAGAAAGCTCCATTCAAAGATTAGAGGGAAAAAAAATCTCGAGTTCAAAATTAAGATTTCAAAATCTGATAATGCTGCAAATTTTGAAATCAACATGTACTAATGGAATACATGTTCTGTTAGTAGAAAGGAAAATAATATTTACTGCCACTAAAATTTTCACTTAAACTCATCTCTATTTCCAACCTTTTCTAGCACAAGGTCCTTTTTCAAAATCAAAATATTTTGTAGATATCTTTCCCCCAACAAATGTGATAATAGTTCTACTTTTAGACTGTGCTGGAAGAGCTACTATTGACTCAGCAATATTTTTCAAATAATTTTGCATTTTGCATTCTTTCCATCAAAAGTTGCCTTCTTGATATCTCCACTTGTATGTCTAATATTAAACTGCAGACGTTCAAAATAAAGCTCCCAATCCCCAACCCTGAGGCAGCCTCCCTTTCAATTCATGTTAATTCTGTTTTTCTGCTGCTCAGGCCAACAATCTTGGTGCCATTCTTTATATCTCTCTTTCTCTCATATTCCACAAAAGTCAATCAGCCAAGCTTGTCAGCTCTACCTATTTTATCAAAATCTGTCCAGAGTCCAATGTCTTCCACAACCCCTTCTCCATCACATCATCTCTGGCCTGGATGACTGCAGTAGCCTCCTCATTGGCCTCCTTCTTTCGCCCTTATCCTTTAATGACTTCCCATCTTCCCAAAAGCAAAGGCATAAGGGCTAGCATGATCTGCTCCCTTCTCTACCCTCAACCCCTGCTACCCTCTTGCTCATTCCTCTCCAGCCCACTGGGTTCCACGCTATTCCTTGCACATACCAGGCACATGCCTGCCAGGCCTTTGGACTAGCTGTTCCCTCCACCTGGAATGCTCTTCTCACAGGCACCCATATATATGGTAAATTCTCTCAATTTCCTATATTTTTTCTTTCCTATTTCCTTAATACTTATCATTCTCCAACAAACTTTTACTTACTTATCTCATATACTGTTATGCTCCTACCCATACTAGAATATAAGATCCGTGAATACAGGGACATTTGTCCGTTTTGTTTACTTGAGTCCACTATGACTGATGCATGTATTTGTTAGTGCTCAATAAATAGTTGTTGAATTAATGAATCTTAAAATGAATCCACAGACACCTGAAAAAGAGCAATGCATCTATATTCAAAACAGACTAGAGACACTATGTGGATACCTGTGAGTTCACAACATCTCCAAGGCTCTCCAGGGGTCTGTAAGTTCAAAGGCTGGGAACCCCTGAAAGCTCTTATTTTATCCATACCATAATCATATGCTGAAGATATCATTACTCCCATTTCCAGATGAGGACACTGAGGCTCAGAGAGGTTAAGTCGTAGAGCCAGAATTATACCTGAGCTGACTGACTCCAAAACCTAAACTCCTTCCAAGCAATGATAAAAGAATGCCATTAATGTAATTTATCCAAGATATCCTCATTGATGCAGCTCTCTTGTGCAATAATAATTATTTAGACAAAGTATTGAATCAAAGCAATTTATCCATTCATACTTGCAAGTATATTTCAGCTTCCTTGTGTAATATAAAGATATGTCCATATGTCTGAAATTTGGTTTGTTGTCTAACTGTGCTACATTCTCTTGTTAGTGACAATAAGTGAACATTTATCAAATAAAATTTCTGTAAAATGACCAAAAAGCATATTTCCCTGAGTAACCATTTTACTAGTAAAAATGTATTATTATATAGTCTTTATTCAATGATAGTTTACTGGGCAATTCTTCTGTCAAAGGCATTGACATGGTTTGCCTCTGTGTCTCCAACCAAATCTCATCTCCAATTGTAATCCCTACGTGTTGAGGAAGGGATCTGGTGGGAGGTGACTGGATCACTGGGGCAGTTTCCCCCATGCTGTTCTCATGATAGTGAGGGAGTTCTCATGAGAGCTGATGGTTTTAAAAGAGCCAGTTTCCCCTGCACATGCTCTCTCTCTCTCTCGTAGTATCTTTACAGCAGTGTGAAAACGAACTAATAACAGGCATTATACTAGATACTTGAGGAGACACAAAAATGAATAAAGCACAAAACTTGCCCTCATAAAGGTCACAATTGCTTTCAAAACTATATTATGGAAACCATGACTGACACATGATAGAGCAAAGTTTACCATTTCTTAGATTATGATTTCCATAACGTATACATTGCCTAGCACGAAGTAGGTAAATAAAAACATACTTGATAAATGAATGACTTATCTGGCATTACTTCTAAATACTTTTTCCCTATCAGAAATTGGTACAAATGCTAAAAAGTTTATCTTCCAGTGACATTATCACTCCAATTTTCTTGTTATAAGACCTGGTAATAAAACATCTCTCTTGACACTTTCTGACATGGAAGGGCATGTACTTTAAGTTGCTGTGTAGGTAGTCATGAGAAACGTAGGCTGAAACATCTGCATTTTTATGGCACCTTCCCCCAGTGACCATCATGTGTATCTGGGTATCTGGGATACATCCAGACAGGGAATTAAGAAGGAACACCCACTCAGTTTTTGAGCATTACTATGAGCCAGGCTACTTTACCTACTTTAAGCCAGTTTAAGATAAACATTATTTTCCAATATTTTACAGTGATGAAAACAAGGGCCCATGCATTTCATTCACATGCCTGGCTGGAATTCTACCCTGGCTTGGCTGTCTCCGCAGCTCCCCTTTGTCATATCTAATTGCATTTCAGTCAATGAAATCTTTTCTATTGAGAAGATACTCTTTAAAAAAAAAAAAAAGCCACCATTATTATTATCATCATTATTCTTCTTTTAGACGGAGTCTCGCTCTGTTGCCCAGGCTGGACAGTCAATGGTCCTGGAATACACCATGGGTCTGAGGTCCCCTAAGGTGGGACTACATCTTGGGTTTATCTACTCCAGGCTTGCTAAGCTAATCATTTATGAAAAACAAAACAGTGAGATGAGTAGTACTACAACCATATCCAAAATGAAATTCTTCAATATTCAGTCCACATCTGCCAACCTCACAGTTTTTTTTTCTAACTTTCTAATGACTATCACACACTTCCTTGCTTTGTGTCAGTGTGACAAATCCGTCATTGCCTTTTTCATTAATCATTCCATTGGTTGAGTGACTCAGGCTGTCACAGAGAAGAAAATTATAGAATTATTTCTATGGAAAACAGACACTGAAACATTGTAATAAAATTTCAATTATTTTCACTCTCCTTGTTGAGAGAGTTTTGTGTGTGTGTGTGTTTTTTTTTTTTGGCAAGATCAGACTCATTTATTCTTTTTGAATCATTTCTTTCTCAATTTAATGATTCTCTGACCGCCATTAAGTACTTCAAAAGACAACTGGGTAATAAATCAAGTATGTTTTATTTTACCTCATTTGCCTTTTCCTGTATATATTTTATAGAACCCCATATTTCGGGGGAAGAATTTAGGTGTGACTGCCTTATGGATTAGAAATCGACTATATGGTCCCTTAGGCTTATAACAGTGATTCTGTAATTTTATGAACTATTGCTTCTTTTGTTCTGAGTTCTAATGAAAACAGCAACAACAACAAGAACTCTTGGTCCCATGGCTTCTCTGACCTCTCCATGGTGTTCACCAGTGTGGGCAGCAGCTGGTCAATGAAGCCCCTGAAGTCTGTGAATTAATACGAACCTTCTAACATGGGATCAGACGCTGGCCTCATAAAAGCTCAAAGCAATACCAAAACCATTTTAAAAAGAAAGAGGAAAAGTGTGGCCAGAAACTATCTGAACACATATTATTTTAGAATTTGGCAGGGACTGTCGAAGGAGAAACTCAGCCAGATAAACATAACACATCGAACAGAATTCAAACTAGGTTAGCACTCAACACATCAGAATTTTAGGATGTCCTTATTATTCCTTTCTAATTATTAAAGGAGCTTCAAGCTGCAATTTCCAGCACTGCTCTTACTTGGTTAATTTTTCCCATGGTGACCATATTTCGAGCTGACCTCCAACAAGAAGGAACAGAGGTATTAGGGTGTGTTTGTACATGCTTGTATTTGCTGGAGCTTAAAGAGGTAATAAACTTCCAATTTTCCTCCTACATCAGAAGGATCTCAGAATTCAGCTCTCAATCTTTTATTTCTCCCAGGAGAGAAAAAGGCCTCAACATCATAGTTGAATAGTAGTTTTGAATCTTGGTCTGCGATTTTTTTTTTCCAGCCTGATGGAAACCCCGTGAGGAGCACATTGTACTTGTAAAAATAGAGAGAATGCAATGTTTGGTTAATTATCCAGATGTGTAAAAACACAATGAAATTGGATGTAGAGAAAACCTGTAATTGTGTCTTTTGCCTGAATCTCTCTTTTCTTATATGTTTCAACAACATACATAGCCTACTTACTGTAACCTGCCATTTGGTTACTTTCAAGGAAGGGAAAAAGATTTCATAGCTAAAGTCCAGCTTCAATCAGCTCCTCCAGAGGAAAACAAACAGTGTCAGAGAATAATATTAAAATGGAAACAATGTCCTCTTACAGAAATTTCACATATGGTAGCAGTTACTATTGTTTAAGCTACTCTCAGTTGACTACATTTCTCTGAAGTTTAGTAGGAAAAAAATAGATACACTTATACAGTCATTCTCTGCCTTGCTTCTAGGTACACATTTCATGGCAAAAAAATT